ACATAGTCAGCTCTGTTATTTACATTTTCCTTCTCCTGAGCATCATCTCTCCTAAACTCCTAAACTTGAATGCTGGGTGAACTATGCCAGTATTACTCACATTACAAAGGGCAGAAGGACAAGAATGTAGCAAGAAAAACAATTTACTATAGGCTGTAAAAAATATGCATGTTCAGCTAGACTATGATGTAGCTTATTAAAGGGAAAACTACTGTATGTTTTTGTATCAAATTGAGACATGTACAAAGAAAAACCTCCAACAGATCTCCCAAAAACCTTCCCAGTTCCATTGCTGAATTCAGGCCATGTGACAATCTTGGACCTTTTATGAACACTTAAATTCAAATGCTCTTTATTAAACAATAAACAAGAACTAGCAAATGAAAAAAAAAATTAATCCACTTGCATTCAAGCACAGCTGGCATTTTAAGTGATAGAAAACTCCAGAAGATAGAGGAGAAAGAGAAGGTTGGAGCTGTTTTTAAGTCACAGGAATGACCCATGCATGAGAGCTACACACGCTGAGATTCCTACAATGGGACAATGGGAGTAAAGCTGTAAATGATGGCATTTTAATGAATTTTAATGAATTCCTGTTGGCATCATTTTATGAGAAATTTTTCTCTTCAGACAAACAAGGTATTTTTATGATCCCACAAATATAATTTCTCATAGTAATTGCATTGGCATGGCTAGCATAGATTCCCATGTGTCTTCTGACTGAGTCCCACACCATATTCCAATAAAGTGATGAGAAAGGGAATGCAAATTAGTCAGTGGGATTGCACTGATAATGGGACATTTGCCAGATTTTGTTCTTTATGGCCAAGGAGGACCAAATGCAGGAGGAAGGCAAAAGTTACCCATTTGCTTTTTGATCGTCATAAACATTTAAGAGTGAAACCAGAAACAGTTCCTTGCTGATCCTATAGCACCTGCAGAGCCCTACCTAGACCTGTCCTCCTTTCTGCCTGTGAAGACCAGGTATTAAAAAGTCTCATATTTCAGGGAATTCACAGGTATGGATCTCCACCAGCACCAGGAACGCTGGACCAAAGGAAGAATTGTCACACGCAGGGGCCAAGCTCCAAGGCAGGACCTGCCACACGGACTGGCCAGAGAAGGAATCCTCCTCTGGACCGCGTGGGGAAAAGAGGTCTAGAGCTCTGAGTTGTGCTTGTAGCGTGTGCATCACAGAAAGGAAATTGCCATCCACTCTCCCTTCCCTGCTTTAGATTCTGCATTGCTGAGTGGTTTTGTTTTCATCCATCCCATGCGGCAGCAGCTCTGTGACACGGCTTAATTCTCCTGGTCTCCTGTGACAGCCACCACGTTTGTGGCTGGGATGTGATGGGGCAGATCCCACGAAAGCACCAGCAGGGCACTGTGACAGCACCCCTGAGCCAGCCCGAGGCAGTGACCTGGTGTCCTGAGCCACTCTCTGATGGCAAACTGTCTGCAACGGGCAATTGAGCTTTTTGATGTTTCATCTCTCCCCTTTATTAGATTGTATCACTCCAGATTGTTCAAATACAGGGTATTATTTTTGAACAGCTTTCTTTCCTCCCTGAACATCCACAGACCGAAGTTCTTTACATTTGGCTATTTTAAATATGAAGAGCAAAGCTTCAGCCAATGGATGCTGTTAAATTTCCAGAAGACATCATAAATTATTTACTCATAAATAAACATTATTTCTTCTAAATGTAATACATTTATTTTGTGGGTTTGACTTAGTATTTCTGTAGCCATTTCAGTCACTCACTCTGACCATTTAATTCCTTTTAAACACATCCATTAGCCACATATTTTTTAGTTTTCTCTTTCCATGGAGACCCTTGGACTGCAAAGGATCAGAATGGTTCTTCCCTTATGGATATGACCTTCCAATGTCAGGGAAAGAAGTTTAATCTGCCTTCACTTCTGCATGACAGTGCTCAACAGTGCTGCAGACCCAGACAATGCAAAGCCTCGTGTTTGTGGAACATCATTTCTCTCCTTCCCAAACAGCTCTCCAGACACCACAATTCAGCCCTCCCAAGGTTTTAAATCCCTCTGTAAAATTGCTCAACATGTCTTCAGGAATCTCTTTCCTCCGTGTTTCTGCTGAAGGAGTATTTCAGGCAAATCACAAGGCAAGGCTCCTTGAAAAAGTGTCTCCATGCTTGCTAACACCATTTCTTTCTTTCTCATTGAGGAATAATGATGCTGGAATTTTCTGAAATTTGTCCTCCTCTTAATGCATAAGAGAGCTTAAAAGAAGACCAGGACATAAAACTGTAAAAAGCGAGGTTCTCAAAATGTGGTTCTAACAATGTACTTACGGTGAAGGAGGTTAATGCAGTCCCAAACTGTGCTCCAATCATTCTCTACCCTACTCAGGTGTTCTGGCTGTGACACATAAAATGATGCCATAATGCAAGTGGGTTTAGGTTTCCAGTGTCCTTGACTACCTGCCCCACAACCAAGGTCTCCTCAAGAAGGAAATGCACTGCAGATATAACTCCTAGCTCTGCTAAGAAATGACATTCTGTTCTGTCTTGCTCTTAGTCTCAGAGTAATTTGCTTTTTCAGAAACTCTCAAGTACTTATTAACAATAACTTCTGTATGTGTGTGTGTTTTTAACAGAGGTAAATGGGGTCTCAAAAATTCAATGTCTGCACATACATTGCAAAAAAAAAAAAAAAAAGAAAGCAGGCCAGTTTAGAGAACAATGTAGGCATGTGTTTTTAAACTACTGTTCGTGCAGTCTGGTCAGGGCTGTGTGACACAGTATACAGTGTTTTGTCATCCAAGGAATGTCTTTGATCAAGAGTTTATGCAAGAAGAAAAAAAAAGCCATGAAACCCTAATCCGTTCCCACAGTCCAGTAAACGTGAGCTGGACAAACAGTGGACAATAGCAGCAAAGCTTGCTGCTGGAACAATGGCTGCAACTAAAAAAATTAAAGGGTTGCTGACTCACAGTTCCTACTATCAGGAAAGATTCCACACAGTGTTGATTATTCCCCAGAATCCTGAAGATGCTGAAAGTTAAAAAGTGTTGAGCTAAAGCAGCAAAACAGGGAGTTAAAATCAGAAATGAAACAGTGACAAATGCTGAGTTGATTCTGTCTGATGCACAGTCAGGATGCAGGGACTGAATAATCAACCTCCTTTCTGCTGAACATTTTGCTAAAATAAAACTCCACGATTTTATTAGAAACAAACATCAGTTAAACTATCAGACAGGAGGCCACTATTTCAGATGTCATCCTAACGAATTCTGCACAACTAGAATTGTGTAGCTTTCTAATTTTTCCAAGGCAAAAGTTTTATGCCATTTCTTATTCCTATTCAGAAATCTCCCCAAAACCAGATACACAGAATGCTGCACTAGTGCTCAATTAGTTATGGTTATAGAATAGGATAAAATAATTTAAAACATTGTGCAGCAAGCTGCCTTGGAATCAAGTTAAACAATGCCTGAGATTTTTTTACTTTTCATATATTCCATGGATTTAGGAAGTCTCCCACATTTCAGATGAGCTTAGTGACCACGTCTCCTTCCACACAGTAGTGCAGCATTTGACAAGTAGTACTACAGAATTCTAGCACCAAAAATGCTGAAAAAATTTAATTACCACACTTAGAGAATAAACACTCCAGTATTAAGGTGAGAGCATTCCCAGTGCAATGTCAGATATTCAGCTACAAACGAACTGACTGTGCAAGCCAACAAAACAGCACACAGAGCTTTTATTATTATTTTTATTATCACCCCAGGCTAGGCTGGTCCTGCAATTCCAAACCCTGGGACACACTGAAGTGCTTCAGCAGTGCTTTGCTCCAGTTGGCTTTTACACATCGGTCCCAGACACCACAACTTGCAACTGGGAACCTGCTGAACTCCTCTCACACCTCCCAAATCCCCTTTTTCCTTGGTGATACATCCACTTCTGTGGGAATGTGTACTGTCACAACTTTATCCATTAAAAAAACAACTCTGGCAGACTGTAAAATGAGAATCTTCATGGTTACTTGCCAAACTATGAAAGCTGAAGTTTTAAGCTGCAATTAGACCAGAAGCCATGGTTGTAAGAAGTTGCAAAGGGCACTATTCAAAAGGCACCAAGAATAGAAAGAATTCGAAAACAATACCAGAAATATTAAGTTCTTACTCTAAAGCACTGTGGGATATTAGGGTGCAGGCAGACTTTTGACAGATGGATTTCCCTTTATTCCAGTGCAGGAAGTTGCATTTCCAGCCAAAGTGTAAATAAGCATTCATAAACACAGGGCAGGCTCAAACTCTCTCTTGCATCTCTTCAAAAACCAAAACCTACATAAACCTTGAAACTGATTTAGTGGAAAATTAAAACTCAAAATGCAATCTCACATTGAAATTATCACAACCTTGTTTCAGAAAAACAGATCAGGATTCAAATGAGCCAGAGTACCTCTACAGGGCTGGTTTCGAAGCAAACAATTGCATACCCAGGTTCTTTTTTTTCTGATTTATTTCACTTGTTTCTGTTGATTATAGATATTCATTCAAAGCTGGAATTTATCACCTTTAGTACAGCTGACAAGGAATGGAAAGGAAGCTGCTTCATGAAGACAGAACAAGAATTGTGCTTGGGAACTTTACCTAATGGTATTCAAAGTTTACCTCTCTGCTGCTGCCTCAAAATTCACTATTTCTTGTACTCATCACACGTTGCAGAAAGGCAAATTACAACTCTTCTGGATTGCCATGACTTCAGCAGCTAGCAGTAATGAGCTGTGTATCCACCTTTTAATAAAATTCCATATTCCACAGGCTCAGCTGAGAGACGATCACAAAGAGACAAAACAAGCTAGAACTCAGCCCAGGCAAGTCAGAAATTGGTGAGTGAAATGTTTCAAACATTCCTCCCTAACTACTGAGCTGTAAGCAGGGCTGGTGAAGGAGTACAGAGATATATTCTGAAGTCTTACTTCTGCGAAATTTCAAACTTCTTGGACAATCAGCACCAAGCCACAATCTCAATGTCCTGCTTTATTAATAACAAGTATCATAATGTACAAGGTTGCATGTTTTTCTATGTCTTTGTGACTCTAAGACAAAGACAAATGAATATTCTTGATGTAACCTGGGCTATAAATCAGGCATACCCAAAACCTCAGCTGTAAATCAGGCATAAAAACACCTCTTCAGAATGCTGGGAATGTTCCACTGCCACAGCACTGAACGTGACACAAACCCCCACAAATCACTGCAGAAAACAAAAAAAAATGGCACTGAAGAAAGCACACAACTGCACATCCAACAGAATTTTGAATTGTACCTCATTTAATAAACTAAATCAGGCCCACACAAGGTGTGAAACAGAAGATATGCAGAAAAATACAGACTCATGGAAGAAGAGACTCCATCAGTGTGTCCACACAAATGAAACTTAATTAAAGACCTAATTAAAAAGAATAAAGACCTAATAGATAACCCTAAGCTTGGTATATCCCAGCTGGAAACCCTGGTTGATACAATACTTATAGTATATACACATGTATTTATATAATAATTTATTATGTATTTTTTTAAATAGAACTAAAGCAATACAAGAAAATTAGCCACCAAACCAATTTTCCAAATAAAGTCACCACCTGAGTGCCAGAGACCTTTTCTCTCTTGAGCTGAACAAAAATAATTGTGTTTGATACAATCTCTGGAGCAGCACCTCGACTTGTCACCCACATGTCACACACTTCTATTAAACAAATGCTCCACCTGGAGCTCTCACAACCCTGCCCTTGCTTTTACAGACATTTTAGCAAACGAGGAAACAAGTAAAAATTCATTCCTGCCTCAGTGTTACTTCAGTGCAAAGATATTCTCCACATAATTAGAATCATCATGAGTGTGTACACTCTGTACTATTTTAACCACTTCACCTACACAAGTATTTGTGAGCTCCTACAATCCCACACATCCACTAGATGGCTCTGACACTGCCTGTGGGGATCAAAATTCACATCTAAGACAATTAAACAAACCAAATCTGTCTTTGATTTTCATTTTTCATTTCAAATTCATAATGCTGAACCATGCCAGGCAGGCAGAGCCAGACACACACAGGGTACAGGTGGTAAAAGGAATTCTGGAATTCCTCACTGGAATGCAAAGACATCCAGCAGCCCAAGGCAAAGCCTGTTCCAGGCACTCCTCTCAGCTAACACAGCTGGCAGCATCCAGTGGTTTGGAATGAGACTGAAGTTGTCACTTTTCAAGGCTGGCACATAAAAAGCTGGTCTGTGTGAGAGGTACTGATAAATATAGTCAATGAGAATCCCAACTCTCCTGGCAGTCATGTTCATCTCATCCATCATTTAAACTGGTAACTTGTAGGGAAGTGGTTGGATTTTGTGGAGTTTGCTCCCTTCCCCCATCAGTCTGCAAAACTATTGGAAAATCCAGGTGCAAATTCCATATTCTAAGCAGGCATCTTCATCCTTCTCCTCTGCATTCTGATCTGCTTTGTCATTCCATCTTCTCCCCACAAAAATGTTTTCTGCTGCAAAGTCTGCAGGGAGTTGATTTTACTTTCCTTCACCCACAGCATGTACACATTGTGTAAACTGAATCATCTGCATACACAGATTTTTAAGTTACAGACATCCTTTAAACAAGGAAAGTGTGCAAATGCTTGTTTTCCTTTTGAGGAATTATCAGTAAAAGACTAGCAAAGAATTAAAACAAATATTTCTATTTAACAGATTTACACACTAGTGTGTGTAATATCCTAAATAGAAGTTGGAGAAAATAAATGTTAAATAATACTGCAAGTCCAGTCATTTTTCACTTCCCCTTTAACATCTCTTCACTATTTTGATTTTTTTAAAATATAAAAGTAGATAGAAAGTTTTCCAGTTCTGTTAATGTTTTTTTTCCTTTGGTCATCCACGATTATCTTCATCTGTTGCATTCAAAATGTCAGTGAAGATCTCTCATTACCAAGTCTAAAATCAGACTGAATATTTAGCATTGAACAAACCTAAAAAGGAATACACAGAAGTGTTTCAAAGGGTCTGTTTTTCAAGAAGAATGTTCAACAAAACTCCCAATTGCTCCATTTATCTTCTTCTGATCCCACTTGTAATTCAAATTGTCAAAGATTATTTCCAACTTGCTTTTTTAAAGATTTTTTTCCCCTTTATTTTGCATTTGCTATTGCTTGGGAAATTTTCAACTGTCAAGGATTTTCACTTCAAGTATTTTGCTATGATTGCAGAATGGGAATAATAACTGCTCCACAAAACTTTGGAGTGGCTTTAGAAACAAAGTTTCTCAAAAATTAATTTATGTGCTAAAATTACAACTTAATCCTACAAACCTGTTTAAATTTTCCTCTGATTTTTTCCAGATCTTCTTGCAGCTTATCATAAGTGGGGTCTTCATATGGGAATTTCTGAATCATCCCTATTAAGGAATCCAGAGCCCTTAGCTTTTTGCTAGAAAAAACAAAATTAATCTAATTAAAATAAAACACAATGATCCTTACACAGGAGTTTTTTGAAACAGTATCACTATGAAAATTACACTGGTAAGTAATAATCCACAGCACAAAACCCAGCCCTCCATTCTTCTTTAATTCACCTCTCAGCCTACTGTCAGGTGTGTTCCATATTCTTAAATAAGAAATTATGCAAACTAGGAATTATTCCAAATTGGGAATCAAGCACAACTGACAGATTTAAGTCTTCCATTTCAGCTTACCAGTCCATAGCTGAAAAATATTCAAGAATCAACAAATTGATTACATGACGAGGCAAAATAAAGAAATGCAACCAAAAAGGCAATTCTGGCAGACATATTAATCAGAATGGGACAGAAAAAAAAGATGTGAGGAGAAGAATGGAAATCACAGTGAGATGACTTTAAAACTTTTTAACCTCACCTGTTCTTTGGATCTGTGCATTTCTGGAGCAGACAGTGCCACGTCAGTGCAAACCCAAGGTAGCAGCCAATCTAAAATTAATTTTAAAGAGTCATGAGGGAAAGAAAAAACCACAAAGGACACAAAGCATAGACAGGGGAACAAAAATAAAGCACTACACTGTATCTCACTCTTTGGGAAAATAAACCCTGGGTACACAAACGTGTTTCCAAGCTGGAAAGGCTGGCAAGTACAAGGTAACCCAAGCCACCCTCTCAGTTGATGTGTTTAATCCTGCCTCCCTCTAGAGCTTTCCCAGTATGAGGAGATCACAGCAATTCTCTCTTATGGTTTGTCCAGGACCATTTTGTACAAACCATCCAGCTCTGGTGACTGCTGTTTGGCATTCTCATCCTGTAGCTGTGACAAACTGGAGAGGACATATGGGACAAGCTGAGGTGCCTCCCCACCAGTGTCCAGCCCCTGAATTCCTAGGAATGGTTATTGATCCAGGTGTGCAGAAGAGGAGCAGTGCCACAAACCCTCACAGCATCACAATTAACAAAGAGTGCAGGAGACACACACACCTGCCTCTTTGTGGCTCCAGATTCCATGATTTTCCCTATGCTGGGCCACAGCAGATGGTACTGGGGGGGCAGCAGAACCTTTAGCCATAAATTTGGGAAAAAATATTACCAAAGCTCCATGCAGCAAATAAGCTGAGAAAACACAAGTGCATCTACTGAGCTCTCCAGCTCAAAACAGCTTTATGGGTCCTCCTGGCCACAGACATAGCAGTGAAACACAGCAGGCCTTAGCCTGGAAATTTCTGTGTGGCTGTCATTTTCTCATGACAAGAAGACTGCAGTGCTGAAGGGTTTCCCCACTTACCTCTGAGCCCATCCTGGCTCCATGCAGTGCTCCATGCCTCCTGCCCTCAGCCATGCCAGCGTGGCTGCCCTCTGCAAGCCCCTCCTGGTAGCCCTCCCCGTGGAACCTGGGAGTGCAGAACCACAGCTTGGTTAATCTCCCCATGGAACCTGGGAG